CTGGAAGCACGACTTCCTGGATCTCCAGGTCCAGGACACCCCGACAGGTGACCGGCTCCAGACTTGTTTGCGTAAAGAGGTCACATAAGTGTTGACCAAGTTCAGGCCACTATATCAGCTTTGACCAAGTTCAGAAGAGCAGAAGATAGCAGAGACGAATTCCGCGTGACTTGTCGCACCCTTGCTCGGTGCTTTTTGCACCTTTGCTCCGTGCCTTTCTGGTCCATCCCACATGACGGAGCAGCCCGTGCAATTCGCCGCGTGTGTAACGCTGGCCTCGTCGAGCATGCTTGCTGGAAGGGCCCTCCGGCGCAGCAAAGCGTGAAGGATTCAGCCTTGGAGATTGGTTTGAAGACTTCTTAGGGTATGGGCCCCAGGGCTCCTGGCCCACCTCCGTTTCGAAAGTGGTTGGGGTGGGTGCGAGGGGGGTCGAAGACCACCGAACCTGAGGAGATGGGACAGGAGCCCTAAGGAGGCTTGGAGGACATGCTTTCCCTTTTGGGGGATCCTTTGAAGTTTTGGAGGTGTTTTGAGGTGGAGTTGTGTCAGTTTTGTCCGCCACGGGGCATGTCCCTTGGGCGGTTTGCTTCAGTTCTGCTAGCTAGCAAAATCATTGGGGCAATTTGCTTGAGAAATTCCAGCCGTTGAGAAAAATGTAGAATGCAACGGAGAGACAAAACATGATAAGACATGTACTGTACCACAAAAACTTGCTGGAAATCCACCTGTCGTCGATATAATATAAATATATATATATACATACCTAGAATCAGCCTAAATAAAGTTAGGCGGAAGTGATCGATTAATGAAGATCCACGATCCACGTTGTAATGGTATTTATATATTATATATATGATATATGCATGGTTTGGTTTGTAACCGTTGCTACTTGCATCCTCCGCCTGGCTGGTCAAAATACTTGACCTATCATGACATCAATGTCACCTGGCTGTGCAAATGGTTTCGCGGATCCACGGCCATGATACATTAATCATCCATTAAAACACCAGGATGTCCTCCTCATTCATCAAAAGCGATCCTCCAATGGCAAGCCTTGGTGCAGGGTTCTCCTTTGGGAGATGCTATTTGCCGTGTTTTGCTGTATGTTGGGGTGGTTGACCTAGTGTCATGTAGGCACATCATTTGTCCATGGAGTGTTTGGGAATTATATTTTGAAATTTGGTCTCGCGCCAACATCACCCTCTCCCAAAAACATGGGGGAGGATGAAGTGTTCAGTGCCTTTCCAGCCGGTCACTGCGGCGAAATCGGAGTGATTCCGCAGGAAGATGAGAGGAGGGTGACGCCAGCACACGCTGGTGCCACACACCCGCAGCATCACCCACACGCGGGGGGGAATGAAGAATCGTGAAACCAAGAGATCCGAGGAGCACTTGGCCTCAAGTGACTAGAGTCCAGGTAGGGAAGATGGGTCGCCCTGGCCAAGTGCCGCGAACGACCTTCCAGGATCTTCCAGGTAGGTATCCTGGTGCCATGACTCACAGCCACATACAAGGAACACTGGGTCAGTTTCCTGAGGAAGAGCTGCACTGGTGCCGCAGAAGAGGAAGCATTGTAATAATTAAGTAATAAGTGTTCCCAGCGAGCCTTTATGGCCACAAAAAGCCACGCTCCTTCTCCTGGGGCCCTAAGCAACTCTTCTTGAAACTGACCCTGGGTCATTTTTTCCTGCGGTGGACGAAATCAAAGGCAACCCAGATCTTTGGTTCTTGGCAGTTCTGGGGTGGTGCAAGAATATTCCTCGGATGTTTTGCATTCGATCGTAGCAGGCAGATGTTCCTTCGTCGCTGGAGGAAGACGCAGGAGGTGGACACGTGGCACCACTTGGCGATTTGGGGAGGAAGGTCGGCGGCGTGACTTGGTCCGTCACTGTTCAACATGCTTGACGATTTGGAAGAGATTTCTTCAGCCTGCCATGCGGCCCAAGCCATGCACCAGTTGGGGGGACAAGGACGCAGACTTCCTGGAGGGGAGGGTCCTACAAGTGTTGCTTTGAGTACTTGAGCCATCAAGGTGTAAGCCGCTTCCTCCCTCAAAAGATGCTGGCGTCAGATGATTATCCTACTCATCAGGTGAACTTTGTGACTACCAAACATCAACTTTGATGGCCACGCATGCAGTTGACTTTCTCAATGCTCCTTGAGTTCAGCCTAGTACCAGCCAACTAGCGACCTGCAAGACCATGGCAATGGCAGTTCAGTTCCCACTGAATTGGAAGGCGGCCACTAAACACTGATGTTTTGCCATGCGCATGCCCTTTAAAGGAAACTGACCATTAGAGTGTGGGACGTATCATCGCCCCACCTGACTCCCCTTTGACTTTTGCCTCGTGGATGAGTGCCTCGTGTTTCACTGTTCTGCGCGTGACAGTTCTGCACGGGCGGGAGGAGTGGCAGGGGCGTTTGCGGACACCTTTCCAAAGACAGAGACACACGCTCCCAAGTGATGCCTCCATGTAGGTGACCAACATGAAGGACGCGAGAATAGCTATCCAAGTGTTTGTAGGCCAAGTTGATCTGGGAAATTGGAGGCATGAAACATCATGAAAGTAGTGCGCAAGAAGGTAACTTGTCTCAAGCCTTGCTTGGGACGTACCTGGTGTTTTCTGGAGGGTTACGGTCTTTCTGGAGCATCCTAAAGCATCCTTTTGCTTAGACTTCCCCATACTAAACTCAGTTGTTTCAGACTCGTTCAGCTGCTCCTGTTGTCTAGTCCTTTGCTGGAGATGCAGAGGTGCATGTCAAAACTTTTTGACACCGTCCAACAACCTCAATAGTTTTTAACGTTTCTTAGTTACGTTTATCCTTTCTATGATTTGTTTGTTCTGACGGACTTGTATAGATGTTTGTATTATTCTACTGTAATCGGAGAAACGTTGATACAAAGGATATACAATGGAAAGAGCTCAAAGACAAAGGAGTTGATCGTCCACTATCATTGCAACATACATCAGGTTGTCACATTCTTACTTTGTCCACATCATCTCCAGTGAATCTAGTCACCGCCATTGGTGGCATTGAATGGTTCCAAACACTGTTCCACCGATCAAAACGCTCCAGTTCATTATACATAATTAGACATGAACCACTGAACCACGCTCCAGTTCAAACCATAGATCCAAACAACTCCAGTTCATCAATCCCTAGGGCTCCAGTCGTACCTCCTCAGAAGGTATGACTGGACCCGACCCAGGCACCCACCCCAGTCCCACCTTCTGAGGTTTGGTACGACTGGAGCCCAAACGGGAATAGAAACAGTGGCTCACAGAGATCCACGATCAGGACCCAGGGACCCACAGGGACCCAAAGACGAACCGTCCACCTGCCATCTCCGCGGACCCCACGCCGCGACCCCACGAGCGACGCTGGCGTCGCTCATGTCAAATCAGCCCGGGGGTTGAACGATGCAGCCCGAGAGGTCTTTGAGGCGAAGTCAACGTGAAGAAGCAAGAGAGGTATCCAGTGACCTGAACTAGGGCCGTAACCTGGGGTACCGAACTGGGATAGTCGAACTAGGGTTCTTCAACCTCTGGAAGCTGGAGAAAACCAGTTGAGAAGCTACCGGACATCAGGTGTGGGACATAGGCCTGCGGACATCAGATCCGAAATGATCCTCACCCTCGAAGCTCTGAAGAGCATTCGGAAGCGACGTTCAACTAGATGGGTGCTCCAAAAAGAGGAGCCTAGTTAGGTCTAGCTAGGCCCGCCAATCACCACCTTCACATGTTTCGGGGATTCCCAGACACTCCATGTATGCCACATATGCCTACATTGACCCCCTAAACCACCCCAATGAAGGCATATAATATATATATATATATATGGCAATATGGAGTGTTTGGAATTAGTTTTGTCAAACATTGAACGTGTTCATGAGATGAGCATCCTCTCTGGGTCTGGTTCCGAATGGTTAGCCCTGGAAGTGCTGGTCCCAGGGCTAGCCCTAGTGCTGTGTTCACCTGTGTCTTCGGTGTCCCCATGGGTGTGGGAGTGGGACCAAAGACTGGAAGATGATGTTCATCAACTCAGAACTCGTGGTTGAGGGGATTCGGATGGGTCCTGTCGTGGCCTCTCGCTTCGCAGCATGTGAAACCCCAAGGGTCCGAACGTCGCGTCGAGCGTAGCTTGGGGTCCAGCGGATCCAGCTGGGGAGACAGCAGATGAGCTGAGCTGGTTTGCGTCAGTCCGGGTGGTCCAGGAGCACAATGGTGGGGCTGGGAGGTTATGAAGATGCATAACAAGGACTGGTTCACAACGATTTCCATATGCCAGGACCTTCAGTTCTTGACCTTTTTGGAACCTCTAAGTGACCTCTTTAGGGACTAAGATGGACTAAGTGACCTCATTCTAGGATCTCAAAAGGTCACTTTGAAGGTCCTGGTGATTTCTAGCAATGTATTTGAGATGTTTGTAAGAATGACGGGGTCCAGAAATCACCTGTTTCTGGACTCATGTCATTGCTATACAGTAGATAGAAATGATTTCACTCCGTGTTCCATCTTCGCCCCTCCGGCCGGCCGGTCGACAGCAACTTCCGAACAGGGGGGCGGACTGTACACCCCAGACGACCAACGAAACACCCAACAGGTGGTGTGTTCACCACGTTCACCTTGGTGTGTTCACCACAGAACACACCCAGTTGAGATCAATGGACGAAGGAAGGGATGGACGGACACATCGTGTCGTGTTCACCTTGGCACGAAGCGTACCCAGCTGAGGTACATGAACTCATTGGAACGTATGTTAGAAGTATACATAAGTAGAAATAAGTAACTAAGTAGCTAAAACATAGTTAGAAAGAAGTCAACAAAAGCATCATCTATAATAGCTAAAAATACGTAAACGTTGGTAAATTAAGTAACACATGTGTCAAAATAAGTAGACATGATGTGGAAATAAGAAACACATATTATGTTGAATTGTAATTGTATATGCGTTGACAACTGACAACCATGTAGAAATTGGTGCCAACTACTGAAACGATGATTCGCCCTGTAGCTTGGAGAATGGAGCGAGACATATGTTGCTGCTTGACTAGAATTTAGTGATGCAATCAGTAGAACATAAGTCTAAAAACCAATGGACATTAAGGAGAGTAGGACATATAGTAGACATAACGTTTGTTTCCGTTTTTGCACCACAGCGGCCAACAGGATGCTCACGTATATCACATGCGCAGCTGAAGCATGCAGAACGCTTGAGGAAGCATGGAGTACTGTCACCTATTCACTTGGGTCCATACCACCTCATCAGGAAGATTCTGAAGATCTCTGTCACAAAAGAAGCACGAGCAACACATTCTTGAAACATCACCCTTGTTTCGTGCTTCCATCCTTCGTGCTTCCCTCCAAAGAATCATGGTTACGTGGAGTTCACCACCGGTTTGTTTGTTGGAAAACAGTCTTGCAAGAGGCCATGTTCCACTTCCATGATTGTTTCAGGGAGTGTAAATACGAAACAAACAAATTGGGCAAATGATCATTGATGGACTTTTTGAGTGTAGATGGCAATCGAAATGTATCGTGGGTTTCGTAAGGAAAGTAAGGCCTTTTTTACGTTCTGATACATTCCAATACACACTAACCAAGGCCTAGATGCAATGGGCGCCACTTGATAACAAAACTGCTAAGTTTTCTTGAACATCCCTGAGTCTGCAAAGAAATGATCACAACAGAGCGTCCCTGAGGCCGCTTTTACTGTGAGGAAACGCAGTCCATCCCATTTGTGACAATGCTTTTGCAGGTCCATGCCCAATCTCTGCCACGACTAGATCTTAAGACGACAGCTGTGAAATAGGTTGTTTATTTTTCAAATGCTCGACACAACTGACACAAACTGGAGAGATTCCTCCAATTTAGCGCAACCAACACGCAGCCAACACTTCACGTTGTTTTCAACCAAAACTACAAAGGAAAAACCAACCACCGAATATCAACACGAAACCGATCAAAATGCCAAGTCATCAGCGACGCAGAGCTCTTTAAACGCAAACAGCCGGACACACTCATCGGGTTCTTACCATGTCGTCCTCATGTTCTTCTTCATCCGTGTCGGGGACGGTTTTGTTGGTCCGACCTATCATTATTTTACTATTAACATGACTAACATGTGTTTGTTTCTTATATATCACTACCAGCACCACCCAGTTCGGGTGGTTTATAGACCCCCCTGAAGATGTATTTTCCATCTAATAACAACCCTTTGGGTGGTGCTGGTATCTTCAACTTGTATAATTTGTGTTTGGTACCATTCAAAATGATATGTTTGGACGCCTGCGAAAAAAAACGTTTGTATGAAAAGTTTGCTTTGTGAAGCGCCCCCCAGCTAGACATATGTGACAAAAGCTGACATAAGCTAGAATCAAGTATAACATACATAGAATAAGTGACCTCAACATAAGTACTATAAGTTCACAAGTTACTAATTGTTCCATAAGTAGAGCGCTGGTACTTGTCGAAGTTATAAGTTAAGGTTTACCTTTACAATAATTTATATAATGCAAGTCCAAGTGACTTGTCACAGCTCAGCTAGCCAGTACCAAGTAGTGACAACAGTCCGTGCCGTGGTCATGCTGAAATACCACAGAGTTCTCCTTTACCGCGAGTGAAGCGCTCGATGGACAGTATTGATGGTTCTGCAAGTGAGTCAAGAAGCCAAGAAGCCAACTGATCACTTCATGTCACTTCCCAAGATGAATCATCCAAAAGATATTGAAGCACCAGATCTCACAAACCTGGACATGGTGTCCGTGCAGGTGTAGATCTCCGTTTTCACGGGCCCACCCAGTCAGTGGATATGTGTTGGGTGAACCTTCCCACACAGTCCATGGGACTGGCATACTTACCTTTGCATTGACCCCCAGGTCAACCACCCCTATGACTATGCCGGTCCCAGTTGTGGTGCTTAGGCGTAGCCAGGGGCAGAGTCAGACCGCCCTTCGGACCGACGCACCGCCCACATCCCCGGCTCCGCACCATCTCCGCCGTCATCGCTCGGACCAAAGACCCGCGGCGCGGGGGGGGGGGGGGGGGGGCACGGCGAACGGACAGACGAGGACGAAGGGCATCGACCTGGTCGACGTCGATCGACCGACACGAGCTGTGACTGGGACGGACTGCCACACACGGCACGGCCGAGAAAGGGGGTGGGACTGGGGACTGGGGTCTGGGACTGGGGCAGTCCGCAGTCCCGAGTGGGGACTCTTGAATGTCTAGTTCGGATGTGTGGCCCATGACTAACTATTCAACAGTCAATAGAACGTGAGCTATTTCTGAGAAAGGCGTGCAACTAAGCATCATCCACTGTTAGAGGATACACCCAAAAAAGCTACCGCACATGAAGAGGTTGTTCAATCCCAAAATGGGGTGGTTGATTCATCAACAGTTTGCATCAAGCATCATCAATCCACGTGTTTGACAATGTCATCATTGGGATTATCCTTCTACCTTGATTCAGAGATCATCAAGTTTCCAAGCCGCCACGCGCAACGGCGCTTTTCTGATCAAGTCTGTTTCCAAACTGATCAAAGGATATGGGCTCCTGGCGTCGCTTTCCGCTCCTTTCGCCTTTGGCGGCCAAATTCCCAAAAAATATGGATGAATTCCCAACCACCAAGATACACCCCCGAAAACTAACATAGACCCTGACAATGGCTCCCTGGAAGAGTGTTTTCCTCTACCAACCAGTTGTTTTCAGGGTCCATGTTAGTCTTCCAGGGGTGTATGGTGAATTCCCGACCACCAAGATAAACCTGGGGAGTGAGTGTGGGACAAACACTCTCTAGCCACGGGCTGAATTCACGCGTACTTTCAAGAGTTGGTGCTTTTGGGGCGCGAGAAGTATTGAGAAGTTATCCTGCATGAGTTAGAAGGGGAGTCTATTGCAGGGTAGGGGTGTCGATCTGCTCACGTAGGGACTAAAATCCATTGCTTTGGAACTGCTGGATGTTATGAGTGATGTTATGGTATGTGTGCACAGGTGGGGTTGTATTGGTCATCCCGCCCCCCCTGCCAAGAATACGAGTCCTCCAAGAACCTTCAATCATCGCTTCCAAGCCTCGTACCTGTCCGAAAAACATTGTCGGGAAAAGGACAGGTTGAGGAACAACACAAAGGGAATACGAGAGATGGGCCACACCAGTTTTACTATACCCTATAGGGCTCCAACCATATCCTCAGGTTCGGTGGTCTTCGACCCCCCTGACACCCACCCCTGTCGCATCTTCGAAACGGAGGTGGGCCAGGAGTGCTAAGGATAGACAACCCTACTATAAATTGGACGGTAGCAATCGGCATTTTTGTTGCTTATTTAGATGCCATGGGTCATGGGTTCAACTCTTTTCTTTCAGACCGGTTGGGCCATGTTAGGACGGTGTGTTTGACCCATTATTCCCATTCCCCATTTGCCTACCAATGCCTCCAGCAAAACCTGGATCCAATTCGTTAGCCAACGAAAGACCAACGATCTCAGTCTTGGGACGTTGTCCCACGTCCCACGTCAACGCCTTCGACGACCAAAGAACACCCGTTCGCTTCGCGACGACGGAGAACGTGACCGGCTTCAGGCTGAGTGTGCCTTGGGGCGGCCCATCGCCTTGGGCGCGGCCTTCCGAGCGAGCTCGCAGGTGCGGCCGACCACGGGCCGACCGGGCGCGGACAGCTGCTGAGTGTGACCATGGGACACCCGGAGTGGAGACTGCTGGGGAGTAACATGGTAACATGTGGATGGGTTTTGTGAAAGGTTAACCACCAGGGTCAAATGGTGCCACTGGCTTCGTCCGGCCTTGAAACACACCGTGAACCTCAAGTCTCAAAGGACTTGTTCCAAGCCGTTTGTAGGTAATGTCCGGCCATTCTGAGAGCGCCTTTGGACTCTGTAAAGCCACCAGTACTGTAAGCTTGTCCTTTTCTTGCAGAACCATGTAGTGTGTCACGTAAGACCATGTCTTCGACCAAGCCATCCTGCGGAGGTTGAACAGCCTTATAGTCCATCCCATATGGTGATGTTATCAGGTCCCAGCTCAGGTCTCAAAAAACCTCTCTTGGATCAAGAGGAGTGCCAGGATCAATGATACCACAGTGGCACAGGTCTCAGGGGACTAGGCCTTGGCAACGAGTCACTTGTGGCACTAGGCTTCCAACTATGTGGTGATGCATCCCTAGGGCTCCAACAAATATCCTCAGGTTGGGTGGTTGGACCCCCCTGGCACCCACCCCAACCACCTTCGAAACGGAGGTGGTTGGAGCCCTAGGGCATGTTCTTCAGACGTCCGAGTGGCAGAGCGGGGGAGCAGGCAGGGTGATGCTTTGTTTGTGCCTTCATTGGAACCGGGACTCTCAGAAAACATGCACAAACAGGACATGTTTCCAGGAGTCACAACGGGGTGGTTTTTGGTCGGTAAGTGAGTGGATGTTCTGGGCACCCCTATCCTCCAAGACGGGCACCCCGTCTTGTGACTGCTGGCAGTGTTTTCTCTTTGTCATGGTTTTGTTCGTGTTTGATTCCGACAGATGAGACCTCCTGACATCCTGAATCCTACAACATCAGAGACCTCTTTTAAGCATGCTCCAGACAAGCAGCTCCCTCTCGTGACCTGTCACATCAACATAGAACTCGAGTTCTGGTCGACGACTGGTCAGCCCAGTTCGGTGCCGTGCGCTGCGCATGGCACGTTCGAAGGCCTCCACGCCACTGCTGGCCCCCTTGCTGAAACAAGAGCTCGAGGCCGACGGGCGAAGAGGTGGCCGAAGAGGTGGTAGAAGGTCCTCCGAGAAAGGACACGGCCGGTCCACTTCGAGGTGTGCCCAGACTGGAAGTCATGTCATATATTGCCGATCCATTCGGTATATACAAGATGATACGTTCGGATGGTCTGGGGCAGAACACCCAGGCAACAGGGCTTCGGCTTCCGGCACTTGGACGCTGACGGCAAGTGCCACCACTGGGCCGGTCGCGACGGCACACTAGGCCACCGTGACCACGGTGGCCGCCCCCCGCAGGGTCGGTGGACTTCATCCCGGCGCCGTTTCAGAAAGGGTAGGAAAGGTCTTTCGACCAGGTTCATGTTAGTCAATGACCAGTGCAGGAAAAAGTCTTGAAACGTGTGACAACGGCAGGAAGCAAAGGGAATTGTGATGCTGTCACATGCGCGTCACCAAGGAATCGAACGTTCAACAGGTTCACAAATTGGCACCATCCGAATCGTACCTTGTGGAGTGTAATGGAACGAAGACACCGCTTTACCGCGGTGGAGGACATCTAAGGTCGAGGTTGATTAAGAAGATCCTGGCAAAGAGGTTGCAGCATATGGTCAACGACATCAACTAGTTCCATCTAGTTCCCTTCTTCTCAAAGTTCCACTCAGAGAAGTCCTGGGGAGCTTCAGCCACGTACTTCTTCCACCATCCACACCCCTAAGAAACCTTCCGTATACTGCTATAGGCCGGTACATATTTGGAGTGTTTGGAACACGATTCATCCTGTTTGGTCACTGCTTGTCACTGCTGTGCAGGCGCTACCAGAGTTGGGCGCCCCAGGTGTCTAACCGTTGGGTTTAGAGATGCGACCATCCGGAACAGAGACCGAGGCCTCCGTCATCGCAATGTCTGGACGGTCATCGACAGCACTTTGGTTACGAGCTTCTTCCGGCAGTCGACGTGACTTGCCGAATTGGTCAGATCATGTGAGATCCGTATCTTTCGGAAGAATCATGTGGATTGTTTTTGTCCTTTGTCTCCACCGAAACACAGGGGGAAGTTCGGGCCCGAACCCAAACCCTATTTGCTTCGGGCCCGGATTCTGAGGGAAAGAACCAATGCCTTGAGCCAAGAAAACAGAACGATCAGTGACGGCACCGGTCACCGCTCGGTCGACGGCCCCTCTCGACGCCCGAGGTCGAGCCGGGACTATGTGGCCAAGTGCATGAGGTGCGCAGAGGACCGGTATCGCCTAGGCCACGAGTTCCCAGACCATCCATGTATAATCATGTATATATATATAGTTATGTTATATAATATGCATGTATTGGGTCTGTTGCATTACCTGGCAACAGTCAGTAAACAAGAACATCACCATTTTAGAGAAAGGCAAAGGCCTGCAACTGAACCATCATCATCCACTGGGCCCTGGTAGACTCGGATAGACTGGAGAGTCTCTACGTTTACTCCATTTCAGACCCCGGTATCATGTATGGTCTGGAGTTGATCAGCTCGGGAGAAAGGATGGGCTAAGTTTGTTTGCCAGATTATGATCATCCACATGGACCTTCCAAGGGTTGTCCAATGGAGATCTCTCAGTAGTGTGTGGGGCTCCAGCCAGGTGAACCCCTTGGCAGGTGCTGGCAAGTGGCATTTGTTGTGGCCAAGGGCTTGTCTAGACTGGTGTCGAGGAGGCGACCATTAGGAACTGAAGTCACTTCAGTCCCCGGAGTGGGCCATTGGACGTGACTGGTGGGCCGTTTGGGCTGGTCCCATCCAGGGGGGGATGTGGAGGTGGAGCATCTGGGCACCGGGCACCTCGAGCTCTGTCGAGCTCTGGGTCCGGTTTGGGCCGGACCTGATCTCATACCGAGTCAATTCAGTTTCGACCATCGAGGCTGTTCAGGGGATTCATTTTCTTCCGAAAAAGGCTTGGACGGGTTCAGGTGGCCGACCTACACATGGAGTAGATATAGTAGATATATACAGTATGTATAATGAACCTGAAGGCATGGAGCTTTAGAAGACTAGCCTCCTCCACAAAGCAGTGGCAAAACAGGAGGGTGTCAACAGGGTGGTGGATTTTGTTCAATCAATCGACTGTTTTACTTGGGATCATGGAACCAACTGACTCATGTCGACTCATCTTTTTCAAGTGAGCCGACTCTGACTCATCTTTTTTCCAAGCACCAAGATTCGACGAACAGCCTGCTAAGGCTAAGTCGACTCGGTTAGCAGTTGAGACATGTTGAGACTGGCTCTGGCTTAGGGTTCGTTGCGGGTTGAGACATGTTGAGACATGTTGAGACGAAAAGCTCTACGAAGCTTTGAACGATGTTTGTCGAGGGATCCACTGCCACCTTCTCAGGTTCGGTACGAAAACGGGCCCTCCTGGCGCTGAATTACATAAAGAGTCGCCGTCCTCACCGTACCTGAGAAGGTTGTTGAGGCTCTAACGACCCTCCATCAGGAGACCTGTCAGATGCTGGGACCGGCCCAAGCTATCGAAGGGCCGGACCGCGGTGAAGACAGAGAAAAGATAGAAAAGCGTCCACGGGGGGGGTCCTAGTTCTAAGGGGTTCAAGGGAAAAACACATCAACTTGAGATGGAGATGATTCGATTATTAGACCTTATTGCTCATATAATAAGACATTATTATTAACACAGCAACATAAATATTGGACATGGTTTTCAATTTGTATAATATGTACAATACAAATTGCTATATAGATGTTAAACATATACACATCATGTATGTTACAATCAGCATGTTCATAACTCATATCACGATTTGCAACATATATCCAACACCTTGGATTTTGGGATTCCAAAAGTCCTAGCACCCTTAGAAACCTTGGAGATATCTCTGAGCTGGCTGTAGGGGCACTGCTGCATCGGGATCCCCAAAAGTCCTTCGGCTGGACTGTGGCCAGGCACAAGGCGAGTGAAAGGCCACACGCCTCAGACATCCTCGAAGGCACCGGCTTCGCGGCTTCGACCATGCGGATTCAATAGATCTCCATTTTGGGAAAAGAATGTCATCCTGGGAAAGGCATGCGCACAAAGAGAGAGAGAGAGAGAGCGAGAGAGAGAGAGAGAGAGGAGAGACTATACTTAATTCATGGATTCATGTTGATTCTCTGCAGTAGGTACAAGCAACTGACAAAGTCCTACCCCAAGCCATGAAATCATTTGAAATCCATGGGAGACAAGCAGGCATGACATGGGCGTTTCCCTGTAGACCCTGGAATTTCCCTTGAAACACAAGCCACATGGCTGTATGGTCTAGCCGTCTAGCCTGAAGGACATGATGCAGAAGCCATACAGGGGCGAGTGAAGGTGAAGACAAGGTGAAGCTCGCTGTTCCCAATGGATTTTGCTATTCCCATGCGATGCAATTTCCATTGATGAGAACAAGAAGGCAAACCACATCGCAGCAGGGAATGGCCATGTGGGCGGCCCACTCGATACACTCCCAGTACACTCATTGATGGTGACGTGGAGTTCACCACCTGTTTGGTCTTCGGAACATGGGCATCCGAACTCGGGGCCATAGCTTCCAGCTTCCAGTGCACATGACCAACAAACACCATCAAGAACATGATTTTGAAGTCCCATTGGCTTACAGTCGGTTCGTGTGATAAAATCGTTTGAACACTTAACGACTGTGAGGTTTGAGGAACGACCTGCCGATGCAGGTTGCAAACACTGCACTGTTGGTTGAGTCACTGAACAATATTGATTGGTGCTTTCATTGACTGACTCTTCAACCCTTTGCAATGACTACCTCAGCCTCAGTTGACTAATATGGGGTTGAAAGCATCATCAACGACCAGAATGGCTGATGGCAAACCAGCCAAGGTTCGGAAATCCTTCCAACCGTAGGAGTCCGCCCAACAAGGGCGTTCGGGTCACGTGGGCGACTCGCGAAACAAACGCACATCCCGACGCTCGTGGGCGTAGGGGCGCCCTTTGCGAGTCCAACCCTCCAAGTTGTTCTCGTGGAAAATGATGGGTACAACGGTACATACAAGCCCTAGGGATCCAAGTGCCTTCCCAGAAGGTACTTGGGCCCTCCAAACCTACATAGCAGTGTCTCCAATCACCTTTCTGACAAGGTACTTGGATCCCTAGGGAAGTACTTGTTTTGGCTTCGAGGCATGTCCCATTGTACGGCGTGTACGGCGTGTATGGTGCTTTCTCAGCGCTGGACTTGGAAACACCTCTGGGAGGGTCCAGGTACTCATCAAGTGTTTTATTGGGTTCCACGCATACCTTGGGTTTGTTGTTTCGGGCGCTTTTCGATTTTCCCAAACTGTGTGCGCGCGTGTGGGACGCGAATGGCGACGTGGACATGGACTTCTGAAGCACTGATCACAACTGTGCCCATTATTCAAATTGTTTAACATTTTTTTGTGGTTTTGATTGTATTTGTGAAAAGTTGTCTACAAATACAGGAAACCAAACACCCAGGCCCCATGGCCACCCCTTCTGTATTGTTTTTAACCCTCAAATACCAAGCAATTTATTTTGAACAGAGATTTTCTGAAACACTTGGCAAACAAGAAGCGAACATGCCTGTATAGTTCGATCGTTCCAAATTTGATTTCTAGAAATGAACCGCGTGCAGACCTGGCCAAAAAAACATCTGCTGTGCAGGGTGGTGAGCGGCTAAGCGGGGCGCGGACGCAAGTCAAAGAAAGAAGTCTCCCACAGATACATCCCAGTGGAAGACCAGGATTGAATTGCCAGCTCCGTTTCAATGCCCGATTTTGAGGTTGTTCTTCTCCTGGTGTGGGTGACAGGTTGCTCCCAACATCTTAAATCCAATAGGGACACACTTCGAAGAAATGTTGCGAGGGAAACGATGATCCGAGTGAGGTCATTTCTTCCCCCCTGTGAGCATCACTAGTTGGGCTGCTACTTGAAGTGTTCTTGGGAATTTACCAGAGTTTGCTCGGTGATTGCTTTGGACTTGTCCTAACTTCTCCACCTTCATGTGGGAATGGTAACCTCAATTTGGAGTTCCTCAACACATCTCTCAGACGGGTCCCTACCAGACTGGTGCAGACAAATTTGCTGGTGGCCACTCCGCCAGCGGACAGTTGGAAAGTCCAACTATCTATGTCCTTTCTGAAAGTACGCCTTTCCACCGCAACTAGCCGTTAAGGGGTGTCCATGTCGACCACTCCTTGAAGGCACTGGAAGAGTCTACCCTAGCCTGAGAAATCAAGCCAGCAACTCCAGGTCGACATGAATTCTCGCACTCTCTTGCAGTTCGCCCAGGCATGTTTAGAAGTTCTCACCGTCTTGCAGTTCGCCCCCCAAGTCTCCAGTGTCAAACATTGCAGGCCGAGAAAGGTCCAGCATGGGGTCCGACACATGTCTCATCAAAAGAGCACCTTTTCAAACGAAAAGGCCTTGAAAAAGAGGAGCCGCTGCGCGCGAAAAGGTGGTTGTTAGCGCGCGACAGCGGCCTGCTGTAGCTCGACTTGCTGTAGCGAACGAACGAACTACTGCGCAATGTCATATATCCTATCAACATGGAACAACTCATCACCCAGTACGCATTTCTTGGCCACATAGTGAACGTACAACTTTGTTACATTACATCATTGCATACTGTATCATCATGTATCTACCCCAACCACCTTCTCTCAGGAAGTTCCAGGAAAGGCTCCAGTGAGTTCGACCTTTTCCTACCAGTACCCTCCAACAGGTGGCAATTGGTTTTCGAATTTTATGTTGTCTAACAGTAGACAAGGGGACACCTGTTAGATAACATGGTTATACCCTTCTATGAAAACCAAATGCCACCTGTCGGAGGGTGTAAAGTCATGTTGGTCATGTCTGACATACCTGATTCCCATCAGGTGATGTAACAAAAGCACACTGCACGGAAGTACTATGATTTAGACCTGTGGAACCTTAAATTGGGATATTCCTGCACCACCGCCCCCGGTCGAAGCTGCACGGCCTCTGCCACTATTTTCAAGCTCACCGAGAAGCAGGTGGAGGTGTCGCTGGCATGGTTCGTGCACCAACGAAACGGACAGAACAGCTTTCAAGCTTTGTTCACCTGAACAGTCAAGTGTTCATTTGTCCATGCTAGTCCGTTAGCTGGCGCATCCACCGACAGCAAACGTACGCCATATATCGGTTCAAGACCACCCACCCCATCTTTACAGGGTTTGCTTCCCGACATAGGCGTTTCAACTCTCCCATACCGTCTTCATCCACATAGCAGGATGAATGGAGCGGGTTCACCAAGGATGCCATGTCTGCCAAATGCTCTAACCTTAATAGTCCAAAAAAGGTGACAGTTCAGTTTAGAAACTTTGCCAACACTTCAGGAAGTCAAAGCACAGCGTACACTTCAACAAGATACTTATGGTATTTCGGGCGTAATCGCCATAGGAGCAATCCTTTCTCAATGGATTCCTGCGCAAGCCCTTGGATATGGCAAAGACTCAGGATCCTGGAGCCATCACACAGCCATTTAACAAGGAGTTAAGTTAGGCCATTTCAATCCAGGGAGCAATTGTGTGCAGATCTGAATAAGAAAGCTGCTTGCTGTAAACGACGCTGATTCTCGGGCAATAGTGTGGCATGAAGGCCAGGATTGTTTGCTTTGCTTGCTGCCTTCCGCATCACGACCAGATTCGTGAATATAGCAGCAACCATCCTTTCACTGGCATGATTGTACACAAACATACCCTCACAGCCGTGCAAAAATGCAAGCACAGTAGCTGCCAAGGAACGAAGAATGTGTGCAATCAGGATTGTCCTCTGCGATGTTCAGGGCAATCTTCATGAGCCAAATCGCTAGGACTGCACATTCCTCGGATGACTTGCGTACAAAAGCAACACCTCCAAATGATCCACTCTCCTGGCAAGCAGGTTTCCTGCAAAGGCTCAGATCCATTCATGAATTTCTGCGCAAAGGTTGGATAGGTGTTGGCTCCATTGGGATAAAGATTCTTCCTGAGGCAATGTCAAGGCAGGTGTATGTAAACACACTCACAAGTCATGAGCATGGGTTCAACCAAAACCTGCATTGCAAGGTGCCTTGAGAAGAATACACCCCTGTTTCCTCAGGTTTACAGTTTTGGGCTTTGACAAAATTACAAACATCAACTTCTCACACTCTGTTTCCAAGGCACGGATTCCATGTTTCTTGCAGGCACCGCTGAACAGCCGAAATGCAGTCAGAAGTTTCTCATCCATGGTCCCATCACCGAAGGTGCTAGAGTCTCTGGAAGTTTGTTCTATCCTCGGATCTTCTCTAAAGACCAGTGACTCATAGCAAACACACAAATCGAACAAAACTGAACTTAAACAAGCATCAACATGGATGCAGCACATTCGGGAATGATGCAAAGGTCAACGATGTGCAGCCAATCATACACGATCAAACCTATGTCCCACCCTGGCACAGTAGTGAACGTTTGGCACCTGCTGACATTCTCAATGAAATGTGGTCCAGTCGTGAGTGTTTGTCGATGCTTTGCACCGCGTCCAAAATCTGTGTAAAGAAGTTCAGGATCAGAGACCGAGGCACGGCAGTGAAGGCAAACGCTGGATGATACCCATGAACTTGTGGGCTTGTAAACACGTTGATGATACTTTTCATCACCTTTGTGCATCATGAAGATGCACTTCCATCCTCCAGCTATCTGTCCGTTGCGCTGTTGGTCAGGGCCCGGAGGGTGATATGGAGAACCCCAGGGGTCTGTTGTAAAGAATCGTCCTTCTTGTAACTCCATCAAGCTCCATGACACCCATTTCTCAAGGGTCCATGCTGTCTCTGGAACACTCTGAGCGTTGTCGAGGCAAAAAAGCACAATCTTTGTATCAAACATAGGCCCAGATACAGATAGACTAGCCATTGTACAAATATTGAAGTTGCGCCTTCTATGGGAATCACAATCGTCCCCATGAATAGTCAAGGGAATGCACCGGCTGAGGTCCGTGTCCTCAGCCAAGGCATGCCAAGGCTATCCTCAGATCAAACTACCACTTTACTTTTGAGTCATCAATTACCCCCAAAACCTTGTTGATTGGAAGGTGCTGGAAAATAAACGGCCCAAAAAGAAACTGCGTGTGCAAGACAGTCTCAGCCCTGCTCAGGACAGGGTGATTCCGAAACCAACTTGTGTGCTGATACGAGTTCCAAATCTCATCAATGGCCTGAACATCCACATCCACGACACGGACTAAGCTAAACAATGAAGCTATTAAAAGAAAGAAAATAATACACAGTGGTGGCCCAATAACTTAATTAAGAACAAGTCACCCCTGGTGGTCCAACGAATCTTGCACGGAAAAGCTCTTGATCATAGTGATAGATATGTGAGACCCTAAGGTGCAAAATAACATGCACTACAACAAAGCACATAGTAGCAAACCGGCAATAGTTCCTATCAGAGTGATGTCAAGAGACACGTCACTAGGAAGCAGCAGGTGCCAAGATCCCAGGAAGATTGAGCGCTCGAAGCTATAGTCTTGAAGAAGTACTGTCACCCTACAGCAACACTCACATTCCAACAGTCAAATGTTTGAAGCAATGAAACTTCTAACAACTTATTTGCATGCATGGTGCTCAACAGGTGGAGGAAGCATCTTCCGCCAAGGTTGCCTGTTGAGCCACCTCCAAAAGGTCCGGCCAAAGTTTTTCTCTTCATCACCATCGAGCAGATCCACTAAATTGCGCAAGTTTTTCCTTAGCAAATTAAGTTTAGTGGGCATACACACTATATGAAAAACACAGAAGCATATGACCAAGATTCGGTAAATGCCGGCCTGGTATTCTTCGCCGAAGTATCCGAAACAATGCTACTATTGTCACCACCGAAACCTTTGTTTGGTAGATCCAGCACACAAATGGTAAAGCAACAGCTGATAACAGAGTTGACAAGTTGTGCAATCAGCCAAGAAACCGTTCGAGTAATCTCCAAAAACTCCTCCACGATATCCATCGCTCACTGCTGTGCGATGGTCATGAGCAGCACAAGTAACATGGGTGAACAGAACATAAATTGAAAACGCCGTGTTCAGTGCATGCGTTCCATGAACTAACTCCTCCTATGGACCAGGGCAAAAATCAGTGATATTTACACACCTGCACACACACAAGCTCACCTCAAACAGATTGTGATTCCAGCAGAATTGAAACATGCTGCAACCAAACCTTTTGAACCCCCAAAGCACAGTGTGGTTTCACACCATGGTCATAATGGCCTTTTGGCCACATCAGCCAGCATGTGGTAACATGCTGTCACCACAACACCGTCCACACGCCAGGCCGCAAAGACGTGTCGCACACGTGAATCTTGGCTCATCAGTGTGTCCAGGACTGGCTTTAAGGTCAAGTGCAGGGGAGATTAACTTATTGGAAGGTAGTGTGGTTGAAAACAATCAGACTTCTATCCTTTTTGAATACGCCAGCCCCTTCAACACTGTTGTTCATCCAGGGAACAGAAACAAACATGTCTCCAACACTGTTCATAAAGACTTTTGAGTGGGTATACCAGTGTGGGGACCATTGACACTTTCTTCAACAACACCAGTCCCCAAATCCAACCAACACAACCATCTCTTAGTGAGCCTAGTTCACATTGTGAAATACCCCTACTCAGATGCTTCGGAACAAGACTCAGAATCAAAGACTTCATCAGCATTATTCTTCTTTTTCTTGGGCCGCATTGCGTTGACCCGCCTTTTGGCATCACGGATATCCACATCCACATTCTTTAAACAGTGTTTGGTGTCCTCGATGAAGCAGGCAACCTCCTCTGTGTTCAAACTTGAGCTTGGCTGCGAAGATTTGTCCACCACTTGCTCCATGTGGTGGTCCACAGTGCTCTGATGGCCCCTCAAGCTGGCCACCTTGAGCAGCAACCCAGGTCACCCCCACCAAGGAAAAGGAAGTCCAACACTCTGCAAAAAATAAACGTTGAATTGGGACAAGACACCAACTCCTTGCAGTTTCGGACACCAAAGGATTCAATCTCTTGAAGGCACTTCGGGATATCATTTGCCAAACTCTTCACCCTGAGTTGGGAGATGCACCATTGAAAAAGTCAATCATGCACACTCGGGAACATTCACCCCAACATGTGGTGAGTCATGAACCGACATAGCAGGAAAAATGCAAATAATCCAGGTAACTTGCTTGACAGGGTCTTGAGATTCTTAGCTGCTACATCCTCGGGGGCCTTCTCCTTCGGGACCTTCTTTTGTTTGAGTTGGCCTGTCTTGAGGTCGAACTCCGGCATGTTGTCAGCAACAGTTTGGAGTTGCTGAGCCACGATTTGTTTGGACTCCTTGTCCTTGACCCTCCCACTGATAGCTGCCTGGGTGCATCAAAGGTAAAGACACACCAACGACTGCTCCCTGTTTTCAAGACACAAAGCGAATAAACACATATGTTGTAAAGGTGCAATCAGCCAAGAGGCAGAGGTCTCCTGAGATGTTCCGGTGACTTTGCATTCCAACACAGATCGCAAGACCTTGTACATAGTGGCATCTTTGCATTGCGGTGCCTGCCAAGGAAAGCTGAAGGCGACAGAAGAGTGGAAAGTCAACAAGCTGATCAAGGCCTGTGGGTGCGGTATGCCCTTTTGGCCTCGGAAACAAGGGCTTAATGTATTAGCACACGAGCTAGCATACAGCCCAGGAACCTTGCAAAATAGTTGCAATGAACTGCTTTGCGGACTTGGATTTTCCAAACATCCTTTTGAGCTGTAGAAGTGTCACCTGGGGCAAGCCAGTGAAATGCAAAGAGTCAAATATATCAGATATATCAGAACAGCGTGGTTAATATTATTGGTTGCATCAATCTATGATCATGACAAGGGACAGTTTCGTAGTTGTCCTTCCGCTTTTGTTCTGCAAAGGACCGGTAGCGTTCTTCAACTTCCACTGTTGAAAGGTCTGGGTTCGCAATAAATGCCTTTAACATAGTGAACCTCAGCACATTGGGAACCTATGGTCCAACAAAACTGCAAGCTGTGAAATTTGAATTTCTTTTCAGTAAAGATAAAAGCTGTGAAACCTTCAGCTTCCATTCAGAAAAGTAACCTTTCACCATCACTGCACATGCGCATTTTTTGGATTAAAGCGGGGTTCATGCTTTTCTTTACAGCACGACCAAGGGCCGCATACTGACGTTTCCTTTCACCTGATTCCATGTCGCTTGGCCCACTCATAGCTTGAATTCTCTCGATTTCTTCTGGATCTGGACACCTCACTCGTCTTGTTCGCGACGATGAAGCTATAGATGGTGGGCTCTCCTGTCGGTTGGATTCAAATTTAGATCTAAAATGTGATGTGTTCGGTTCAAGTTCATGGAACAAATCCAGCCTCACTCAAACCACCAAAGGACATGGCACGCCGAGGAGTGGTCAAATCAAGAGATTCCATCGTAGACTGCTTCTCAAGGTGGGCCAGCGGATCCTTAACCCAAGATAGTTTAAACAAACAGTCAAGCTCTTTGACAAATATATCGGAACAAAGGGAACCAGAAGGTAAACGCAGTCCAGTCTCTTTGGCTCTTTGAGCAGTCAGCTGGGTGGAAGGCTCAGAGCGTTCAAAGACCTGAACTTTTACTTTTTTGGCTGGAGCCTGACGACCATCTGGAGAACCAGGTCGCTTTCCAGATTGTTTTTCGTTCTGATCTTTTGCACTCTCAAGCGTCTTGATTTTCTTCGCTTTGGCTTCTATGTCACCTCCTTCGGCAGATCTCTTTTCATTTGTCTTCACCCCAGAACCTTCTCCCCTTGTTTCCTTTGATTTATCCTTCTGATCCTTCTTGTCAGCCTTTGCAGCCTGCACCTTCTCCGCATCCTGGTCGGTCTTGGTGTTGAGGTCAACATGTGAGGAACACTTTCCCTTTTCCTTTTCCTCCTTCTTGTCCTTCTTATCTTCCTTCTTGTCAGCCTTTGCAGCCTCTGCCTTCTCCGCATCCTTGTCAGTCTTGGTGTCAGCAACACTGGAGGA